AGGAAAATGTTCAAGTAGGGCTCTGAGTGAAGCAGGTAGAGGTCATCCCTTTGTTTCTCAAATGGAAGAAACTCATTCAGGGAAGGCATGGGATTTTTTTCAGGCTCACTCTGCTGACTGTGTATACCAGGCTGACAAAAAGTTGGGGAGAGTTCAATTTGCTTTTTACTTAACCTCACAGACATAATTGAAGACTTTCCAATTCCCTAGCTCTTTGGGGAATCTGCCCACAAGCTTCTAGGGAGTGCCTTTCATTCAAGGACCCTGTACCTCTGAAGTCTGGCTGTCAGAGGAGGAAGAGGCCAAGATGGAAACCAGCTAGCTTGGTCAGCAAGACAGAACTGGCCTTAAGGCCTAGGTCTGTCCTTACTGGCTCTGTGACTTTGGTCATGTCACTGCCCTCCTCTTGAACTTACTTTCCCTTCTCTCAAATGACGAGTTTGAATCAGATGACTTCTGAAGTCTTCATCTTATTCTAACGTATAAGTCCATGCATACTCCTCCATCATATCCATACCCACTCCATGCTTGCAATATAACCTTCCCAACCCCAAAAAACCCTGCTAGTCTAATGCTTTCTCTTGTGGCAGCCCCCAATCAGCAACAGCTGTCCTATTCTAACCCTAAAATCTGGAATAAAATGCATGGTTCTTCACGGACCTGCCTCCTGAACCAGAGGTGCTGCCCCCCCATCCAATCTCACATGGACTGTCAGACATCAGACCCCCTAGTGGTGGATGGCCAAGGTCCTGTAGGGTCCAGGTGGATACCATTTCCCTACCATGGGCAGGAGTCCTGTGGCATGGGGCTTATGTATCTTGGCCCCTTATCTCCCACATTCAGGTGGGCTTTGGGTCAGTCCCCTGGCCTCTCTTGCCTCTCAGATATCCACTGCCAACCCTTGGGATGTTCAGGGAGCCAGCAGCCAAGAGGAGCTGACTCTGGGAAATGTGGACCCCACCCCTTCCCTCCCTCTCTGATAAGCGCTGATGGCTGGTGATGTCAGTGCCTACCTTGGTAAGGCAGGAGTTTCTCTCCTGCTGACCCTGCTCCTTCCTCCACTGGTTCCCACCTCACATCCTTCCCTCTCCTAAACACCCTCTCTGACTCATTTCTTCCTTCCCTGAAGACCTCCCCGGGCTTATTTTCTCCTCCCCCGCTGCTGCAAGTGGCTTGCACTGCCAGCAAGATTACCTGACTTTTTCTGTTCTGTTCCGGCCTGGCACGGAGGGAGAGGACCCAAAGGACCAGGACTGATGCCCAGCGACCCTCTGATGTCTGCCCAGAAGGCCCTCTATCCCTCTCTTCAAAACCACGGGGTTTTTTGTATTCTTATTCATGAGTGCTCAAAGTTTTCCTCTGTATATTCGCACAAGGAAGAAATCTTCCATTCTCTTTCTCTATTCCTCTTTATGAGTACCAAACATCCCATTTTGTAATACTACATATATAGGACTACATTTATATATCATTATATCATCCAAGATATAGGAAATAACTTATATATTTGATTTATATATATTCTCTATCTTGATGTATGTGTATTCACATAGAAGACTACAGACTTTCTCTCCTATAAAGTACGAATTCATAAGTATGTAATCAAATATACAGATAATATAAGACAACTCGTATGTATGAAGACAATATATCATATATATAAATATACGGATTCTTTCTTTTCATTACTATGTACATACAGTCATTTGTTCTTTCTATAAATTCACTTATGTGAAGTAACTATCTCCTCATGAATATTGGTAATCATTCCCTCTAGTCCTACATATATGATACTCACATATTCACTTTCTATTCATATTTGAGAACCCATATTTTCTCTATACATATCTATGTACATATATTCTCTCTCTATTCACATATATTAGGTCTCCTATATGCTGTCTATATTCCAAAAAGCATTCCACTTCTTGTCTTCATGTGAGACAATATATGAAGACTTTTGCCTGTGTATACGTAGAGTTTATCAGCACTCTTATAGGCATATAGACAGAGAATAAGGGTCTCTGTAAGCAGAGAAACATGAAGTGAATGAAAACTCACAACAATACTCGTAGAGGAATATAGAAAGGGCTTATGAATATTCATGTATACCAAAATATAGAGAGAATGTATGGATAATCATATATATGAGTCACAACAGACAATATAGTATATTTGTATACACTGATTAAATAATAACTAATGTTTGTGCATGTGTATATATATGTATGTATATGTGATATATATATGTATACATTATAGAATATAAGGGTAACCTATATATATTGATTTATTTATAGAGAAACTATATACCTGCCCCACCCCCAACAGAACCCCAGCCAAGAGGACCTGACTATTCTCTTGGGCTCCAGGTGGCTTATCTGACTGAAACCGTTGCAGGTGCCACACAGACATGGAGGAAGAAGTGGAACTGGACAACTGTCCATGGCACAGTCTATCCATCTCTTTGTCCATCCCTTGTACCCCGGAGAAAAATCTATTTGTGGGTATCTGGATGCCCCCAAGTCTTTCTATATGTTTTCATTATGTTCATTATGTTGAAAAACTCCCATATTCTCTTTCTATATTCATACTGAGAAATACTTATGTATTCTCTTTATATTCACATGAAGGACTTGTGGTAGAGCCTCTGACATGGGTACACATATATTGTCTAGGTGGTTCAGTGGATAGTGTCTGGTGTGGGCTCAGCAAGACCTGAATTAAAATGCAGTTTCAGATGTCACCCTGGGCTAAGTGACCCTGGCCAAGTACTTCAACCTGTTTGCCTCAGTTTTCTTTTCTGTAAAATGAGCTGGAGGGGGAAATGGTAAACCACTCCAGAATCTCTGCCAGGAAAGCCTCAAAATGCACCACAAAGGGTCACAAATGACTGAAAAAACAACTCAATGGTACTTCTCTATTTTTTTCTTCATTCAAGTGTGAGCACTTTTTCTCTTTATATATTAACAAGTATCCCACCGTTTCCCTGTGGGAGAAGATGTGGACTCCTATATGATGAGAAAGAATATGATGATTCCTATAACAGCATATACATATGGAGAGAGAAAATGAGGACTCATATATATAGAAAGAGACAGAATAGGTGGGTACTTATTTATGTGAAAATAGAGAATACATGCATACTTATATGTCAGTAAATGGAGAAAGATGTGTGAATAAACATAAATAATACTGAGAGATAGAGAAGTACATAAATGGGAATGTATCTACTCAATTTATAGTTGTTGACATATATGAATAAAGAACAGAGGAGTGTATATGTGTGTGTATGGATCTAAAGAAAGGATCTATGAGTATTGCTGTATGAAGACACTTAGATAATACTGGAGTATTCATATACAAGAATCTAGATAGAAAATATCAGTATAAATATATATGACTATAGAGAATAGGTGAGTACTCATATGTGTCAACATTGAGAGAATATGAATACCCATCCATAAGAAAAGTCCCTATTTTTCACCCACTTTTTCCATGAGATTTGACAAATGAGTTTATGTTCCAAGGCTGTTTTGCCTATGGCTACCCATCTCTCTCCTTAGAAAGTAAGTCCAGTGTTGGGCACAACACTATAGAGCACCCTTTCTTCACCTCCCAATTACAAATGATTTCTCTCAGTTAAAATTCCGTATGAAATGATTGCACTTTGTGGGGGGAGTGTGCCCTGTCTCTGTGTGTGTATGTGCGTGTGTGTCTGTGTGTGTGTGTGGGTGCGTGTGAGAGACAGAGACAGAGACAGAGAGGGAGAGAGATCCTTAGCCCTTTCTTCAAAACACATCCCCTTTTCAATCATGAGTAAGAGAGAAGAACAGTTCAGCTTGGAGGAGTTTTTATTGTAAGCCACATTTCTTTTAGCTCTGCTTTCTTTTCTCTAATTGTCACTGGTGTGGGACCAGCCACTGAGCCTTTTGATAAAGCATTCCAGGACTCCTGAACTCCTGTATTTGTGGCATCATTTCTACAGGCAATTTGATTTGGTTGCTTGCCCCATCTTCTTCCCCTTCAGACATTTGGCATCAGAAAGATGATCTTAGAGCTGTCCTTGAGAATGATCTCAACAAGCTGGGGAAGAACCCCTCTTCCTGAGAAAAATCTGATAGACCTGCTAAGGTTGGTAAAAGAAAGGGCACATGAGCTTTGGTCAAGGTGTTATTCAGGTTCCTGTCCTCACTCTGACTCCTCCAGGACCCTCATTTAACCCAGATTGCTCCCTTTGTTCAGTCCGAAATTGATACCTTTGCTATGTGATCACCTTCCAACCTCTTTCCCATCTTTGAAAGGCCAAGTGCAGCAAGCTGTTCCAGATCCCCCTGTCACCTACCCCTTCCTCCTTTACCCAACCTATATCAAGTTCACCATGTCCCAGAGACTCCTCTCCCCCCACAAGAGCCTGAGTGTTTTCTGAGGGCAGGAAAGAGGGACCTTGCCTAGGCTTTCACATCCAACTTCCAGGAATACATTCAAGTAGGGCTAGGAGTGAAGCCACTGAAGATCATCCACTCCCTCCCCTCCCATTTCAGAAAGGGAAGAAACCCATTCAGTAAAGGGGTGATATTTGCTCTGGCTCACCCTGGTAACTCTCTGGGTAACCTACACAAATCCCACTTTAGGCAGGAAGCTGTTTCTTGGGAGTGCTTTGTGAGGGATCTTCTGCCTATGAAACTTGGATGTCAAAGGAGACAGATGTCAACATGTAAGCCAACTAGGGTGTCAAGCAAGAGAAACCTGGGCTCAGAGCCTGTTTCAGGTACTTGCTGGCTCTGTGCCCTTGGCCATGTCCCTGACCTCCTCTTGTCCTCATTTACACTTTCTCAAAAATGAAGAGGTTGGACCAGATGACCCCTAAGGTCTGCTTTAGCCCTCCAACTCACAAGACCTTCCAAGTCCATTCTGAGCTACTCCTCCATGCCGACCTCCCTCCTCAATCACCCCTTCCAGGAGAAAAACATCACCAACAAACAAAAAGGAACTTGCCAGTCCAATACTTTCCCTCAAGGCAACTCCCAAGCAAGAAGTTCATCCTGGTAGCCAGTGATCTGACTTGAAAGCCTGCAGTGAAGCCCCTGGGGCTGTCTGCAGCTTCCTCCCCATCAGAGGTGTTCCCCGCTCCAGCCGACCGGCTGCCCTCAGAACCTAAAGGGGTGAAAACGATGGTCAGATACCTACCACTTGGGGACCATTAAACTATATCAGAATTAACTTCGAGGTCTTGAGGCCGGTGCAGTGTGGCCACTAACGTCCCCCGATCCTCAGGTGGGCGTTCAGCTGCTCTCCTGCATTCTCACACCCCGCAAGATTGGAACGCTTTGCCATCAGAAATACTCAGGCAACCATGGGCAGAGCAGAGTTGATGGTCGGTGACGTCAGCGATGGCCTTTGTGAGATCTGAGCCCACCTGGCCGCCTGGCGAGGCGGCTCCACCCCCCTCCCCACAGGCCCCCCGCTGAGACTCCAGGAGCCGCCCATCCGGTTGGTTCAGCTAAACCCCCATTCCCCCCTCCCCCACCATGGGCCCTAATGGGTTCTTTGTACCTGCCCCATCCCCCAACAGAACCCCAGGCAAAAGGACCTGACTATTCTCTTGGGCTCCAGGTGGCTTATCTGACTGAAACCGTTGATTTCCTTTAAATTTTATGTATTTTATTACATGCATTTGAAAACATTATTCTGAAAAAGTGGTCCATTGGTTTTACCAGCCTGTGAAAGGGGTACATGGGAAAGTTAAGAATCCCTGCTCTCAACAGATATATCAAATGTTTTCCAATCCTTCCACGAGATCCATTAAATATTCATTTCTCCTTAGAATCTTTTTCAATATAATTCAACTGAATAAGCATTGAGTGTTTGAGATCATCCTAGGGGCTAGGGAGGCAGTCCTTCCCCAAATGACTACATTTCACCAATAGGAAAACAAACAGGTAAGTTTACAAATGTACAAATACAGAGGATATACAAATTATATATAGAGTGAGATAAAGTCATTTCAGTGGAAGTAGGGGGTGGGGAAAAGAACACAGCAATTGAAACATTAGGAAAAGCCTCTTAGAAATAACATGAGCTGTGCTTTGAATTAAGGCAGGCCTCAAGATACTTACTAGCTTGCGACCCTGATTAGTCACTTAACCCTATATCCTTCAGTTCTTCATCTGTAAAGTGAGCTGGAGAAGGAAATGGTGAACCATTCCAGCATCTTTGCCAAGAAATCCCAAATGGCATCCCGTAGAGTCAGACACAACTGAAACAACTGAAAAACATGGTAGATTCCACAAGGAAGAGGTGAAGAGGAGGGCCTGGTAGGCATGGAGGACAGCCTATTCAAAGGCGTGAAGATAAGAGATGGAATATCATATACAGGGAGCACAAAGTAAGCTAGTTTGGCTAGAACATAAGAGTGCATGATGGGGCAGCTAGGTGGCACAGTAAATAGACTCCGGCCTTGGAGTCGGGAAGACTCGAGTTCAAATTTGACCTCAGGCACTTGACACTTACTAGATGTGTGACCCTGGGCAAGTCACTTAACCCTGATTGCCTCACCAAAAAACAAACAAAATAGTAATAATACTAAGAGAGGGCATAGGAGGGGAAGTAATTGTGCAATCTGTCTGGAAAGACAGATTGGAACCCTAATGATGACCACCAAAAGCTTCTGAATTCTGAACTTCTTAAAAGTCCTAAGTGAGGCTTTATCTTCCCATATCTCTACATACCTCCCCCAGGTCGTCTTGGATCTTGGCACCATTTGCATCATATCTGATTCTACCACAGCTTGGTGCTTAGAGAGGGAACAGGGCCTAGAACCTTGTTGGTCTCAGCTTCCTGCCCATGCTGGTGACTCGGGCTATGGATGATCCCTATGTCCCATTCCTTTTCTCTCCCTCTCTCACCAACATAAACCCACAAGTCAAGACAGCCTCTGCATGGGATCTGCTTGGGACTTTGCTGTTTATCACCAGATGTAGAAAGTTCCTTTTTGACATCTGTGTCATATCTGTATAACTTCCATTGACTTTCACATAAGAATCAGAGTTCTGGGTTTTTTAACTAGAGAAACACCTGGATCACAATCTTTTATTGGCATCCAGAGAGCCAGATGTGCCTGCTACTGAGCACAGCACAGGTGGGCTTCTAGCCAAGCTGTCCCTGCCGCTTGGAGTGCACCAGGGCATTCACTTATGATGATACCCTAGAAGATCCCACATCAATGATTCCTCCTCTATCTGATATGTGCCGTAAGGTCCTGTGGAAAAAGGCACTCATCAAATTGGAAGTACCAGCAGCTTTTCAAGGTTGAGGAAGGAGAAGTTAATCTGTATTCTCCTACCATAACCCCTCAACTTCCAGTGACCATGGGAACAAGGTGCCAGTGGTGAAAGTCAAGACTAGGGGCACCATCATGAATTCTCATATTACAAAACAGACAGAAGAGAGCAGCAGGCAAGGCTAAGAGATGGTGGGTAAGTTCCTCATAAAGTCCTCGTCACAGATGAAACCAAGTACCATCACGCAGCAGAGGCAGTTCACAAAGTAAGGTGACCAAATGGAGAGATTAGAAAAAAGAGACTGACTACTTCAGACCAGTCCATTCCAATAGCACATCCCACTCTTTTCCCAAGGAAAGGCTCAGAGGTTGGTTTACTTAACCATGTTCTACTTCCTTACCTGGTTCAGACATCAGCAGCATGCATTCTGGAAGTGGGGATAGAGACAGAACCCCATCTTAAAAAATGGAGCCTTTTGGGACCAAGAACCCTGTGAAAATCCAACTTGGGTTTGAGTGTCTACTCCTACAAAGGTACTCAGAAGCTATAACCAATAGAGCTCGTGTGGGTCCAGACAACCAGAACTGCAGAGAACTCACCAGCCTTCAAACCACCCAAAATGGACACTTTAGGGATCGACGGGAGGACACAACTTCCTTGGGTGTATAACCTCAAACTGAGGGATAGGAACATATTGAGTCCTACAGGCTTCTAACTCCTACAGGCTTTTCACATAGGCAAAATTGCTCTTCCTAATGACTGGCTCTTGTTTGGAGAGAATCACAGACACACGTTTCCTGCTTCCCATTCACCTTGATTTGATATAGAAAAGAGGTCGCCCATTCACAGTTCTGTGGGGAATATATCTAGGGAGCTGGTGATTGCCTCTTTAAATATTTGTGGCAAAGCTTGAATCTTTCTAATGTAGGGAGATCTATTCTGTAAGGACCCAAATTTGGTCTGAATAACTCGTCAAAGTATAGCCTACCACAACCAACTACTGACCCACAGATCTAGATTGTCCCCTCGGGGTAAGGCAAAGAATTAAATCTAAATAGATTTTGTTTTGTGTATTTATCCAAGATTTTTAAAAAGTCTTAAGTGAAATAAGTAAAAACAATAATTTAATTTCAATAATGTTTAATGAAAATGCAGATTAGTTACTTATAGAATATAAAGAATAGTCCACAAACAAGTTTTTTTTAAAAAAGGGAAGAATTTATCTCAACTAGTAAAAAATTATTCGGAGCAATATTAAATATATCAATACTATGAAGGTCAAACCACAGATTATAATGTGATATTGTAAGCAGTAGGTGGAGGCAATGTCATTTATTAGAAAGATTTGGAAAATTTGACTTTCAAATACAAGACTTAAAAGAAGCATAGAGAAGAAGGTAAAAGGAAAGAGAAACCATAAGGGATTCAATAAGTTCAAACTGTTTACATTCCTTCATGGGACAATGATACTTTTAACTCCTAAAACTTTCTGATTAAGGCAGTTAGAAGGAGTATAGATAGACAGTTGGGCACAGGTGTGAGTCGAATATGATGGGATGATTAAAAAAATAAAATTAAGGATGAGAAAGAGGAATTCACTGAGAAAAGAGGAAAGCGAAAAGTAGAATGGGGTAAATTATCTCACGTAAAAGAGCTTTTACAGAAGAGGGAAAGATGAGGAGCATGTGAACCTTACTCTCACCAGAACTGGCTCAAAGAGGGAATAACACAACCTCACCTGAGTATAGAAATCTATGGTACCCTACAGGAAAGTAAAAGCAGAATAGAATAAGGAGGGGTGGGCTGAAGAGAATGATAGAAGGGAGGTCTGATTGGGGGAGGTAAAAGTCAGAAGCAAAAACACTTTTCAGAATGGACAGAGTGAAAGAAGAGAGAAAGTAGGATAAATAAGGGGGAAATAGGATTAGAGGGAAATACATAGTAATAATAACTGTGAAAAAAATTACAGAAAGTTCCTCTGATCAAGAGGAATATATTTATTACATATTACATATATTACATATAAGAAATATTATGTATTTCTTAAATATATAGAGAACTGAGTCAAATTTATAAAAATAAGAGCCATTCCTAAATTGATAAATGGTCAAAGGACAGAACAGGTAGTTTTCAGATGAAATAATCAAAGTTATCTATAGTCATATGAAAAAATGCTCTAAAACACTATTGATTAGAGAAATACAAATTAAAACAACTCTAAGTTGCCACCTGATACCTATCAGATTGGCTGATGTGACAGAAAAGAAAAAAAGATGTTGGAGGGTGTGTGAAAATTGAGATACTAATGCACTTTTGGTGAAGTTATATACTGATTCAACCATTCTGTAGAGCAATCTGGAACTATACCCAAAGGACTTACAAAACCATGCATACCTTTTAACTAAGCAATACCACTCTTAGGTCTATATCCCAGAGAGATAAAAAAGGAAAAGGACATATATGTACCAAAATATTTATAACAGTTCTTTTAGTGTTGGCAAAGAATTCAAAATTGAGGGGATGTCCACAATTGGGGAACGGCTGAACAAGTTGTTGTATATGATTGTGATAGAATACTACTGTGGTGCTATATGAAATGATGAGCAAGATGCTCTCAGAAAAACCTTAAGACCTACATGAACAGATGTAAAGTGAAATGAGGAAAACATTGTATACAGTAACAGCAATATTGTATGATAATCAACTGTGAGTGACTTGGAATCAGTCAAAAGGCTGCACCCAAGAACCTAGAAGGCCACATGCAGCCTTAAGGCCTCAGGTTCCCCACCTCTGACTCAGCTATTACCAGCAATATAATGATCCAAGACATCTGAAGGACTTATGATGAAAAATGCTATCCATCTCTAGAGAAAA